TAAGATGAAATGCTGGCTATGTTTGTCTCTGTCTTAGCACAGGAGCAGATCAGAAGGTGGGCCTCACTTGCTAAACGATAAGAAGTGATGTAAGGAGAATGAATTTCTCCATTGTGTTCCATATTAATCTCTGAGATAATGGGGCGTGAAACTCTTAGAACAACCTGGCCCAATAGCACGTTATATAAAATGGGACATTAGTCTCATTCATTAACCACAATGGAGAAAAATGAGTTCAAACCAGAAAGGAGAGGCAGCTTTATTATTAATTCTCCTCATGTGCCAGTACAGACTTCAGGTTCTTCTTATATAATAGGGCAGACTAAGGATCAAAGCCTGTTTCTTTCTCTTTATCCTGCCCGCACAGGCACAAACACAAATATAGACCGATCTCTGTGTTTTTCCTCACAAAGGTGTGTCATACCTGGACAGGCCCCCTACCACCCGCCAGTGTCCAAAGGGGACCTGTCAACCCTAACCTAACTCCCAATAAGGATCCCCACCATTTAGCTTCTGCTGAGGTTATAAGACATAAGGGAAGCATTGAGGCTCAGCGGTAGAGAATCTAGGACCCAGGATCAATCCCCGGGATCTTCAGTTAAAAAGAATCAAGTAGTAGGTGGTATGAAAGACCTCTGCCTGTATAAACTGAAGTTTTTAGTGTTCTTTAACTCCTGTACTGCTCACTCTGAGCGGCTGTTTACATGTGAGGCATTGCTGCCAAATACCCCCTTGTCCCTGCAATTGTCCTCTAGGCTCAAGGGCGTTTACAGCTGTGTGGAGGTAGTAAACTGGAAGTCGCACATTTTTTTTTTTTAATCATTGTGATTGAGGGAAATGCTTCAGTGTTATGTAGATGTGTAGTATAAACCAGAAGGGTGTACATTTGGGTGGTTCACATGAGACCAAGTCAGTCACAAGAAGGTACAAGCCTTTGAAGGTGCCATCTACGCACTACAACACAACACAAGGACTTTGTATCATACATGCGATGGGAGATTTGTGCCTCTCAGACACAAACCATCCTTTTTCTGTTTGTGGCCAAAGTACACAGTGAACTGTGGCTGCAACCCCCCCACCCCTCCTGTTTTTGCACCCTCAAATTGCCTTATGGAGTCAGAACTGGATCCGTTGTGAAATTTATGCATAGTAACGTAATTTTTACCATGGAAAATGTACTATTGTTTGCTTCTGTTCTTGTGAATGCAGCCAAATCTTCACAATCCCTTTGCTGCCCATGCTTCAGTAAGAAAGCAAAGGACAAGAGTAAAATGTTGGAACAGAAAGGTACACAAACACATCATCCTGCTTTTTTAACTAGAAGGTCCAGTTGCCAGGACAGAATGAACAATTGTTCCCTTGTTCAAATGGGCAGAAAGTGGTATAAGAATATAAGAGACGCCAATGTTGGATCAGGCCAAAGGCCCATCCAGTCCAACACTCTGTGTCACACAGTGGCCAGAAATACCAGGTGCCATCAGGAGGTCCACCAGTGGGGCCAGGACATTAGAAGCCCTCCCACTGTTGACCCCCCCCCCAAGCACCAAGAAGACAGAGCATATCAGAGTATGATACCTCAGAACTGACAAAGGTTGAAGGATGTGGGACTTTCTCTCCTGTTTCCCTTTCTTTCCCATGAAAACCTGCATGAGAATTGTGATGAGCAATGGAGGCCCTGTTTCAGTGTGCTGTCATCAGAAGTGAAGCGGGGGGTGGGGGGAGGAACATCTGAAAGAGGGCCTTTTCCCCATCTGCACTTTAAGGTCCTCACTGCCGATCACTTGGTGGCTGATCTTTACAATTTCAGGTGGTAGGCTAAGATTTTCCCATTTACCCAAGTCATTGGTTATTTTTTCTACTGTTGCTATAAGCTGATATATATATATACTAGTAAGGAAAGCCCGTCGTGGGGGTAGACGACGGGCCCTAGATAGGAAGGAAGGGCGAGTGGAAGGGAGGAATGGAGAAGAGGAGGTAGAGAGAGAGAGAGAGAGAGAGAGAGTTAGAGAGGGGGGAAAGAGAGAAAAGGGGGGGAGACAGTGGGGTTAATGGTATTATTTTTGAAAGAAAGGAAGGGAGAAAGCTAGGAAGGAAGGAAAGAAGGAAGGAAGGAAGGAAGGTAGATGGGTAGAAAGACAGAGATTGAAAGAGAGTGAATGGGAGGAAGGATAGTTGAGAAGGAAGAAGGGCAGAGAAACAGAGGGGGGAGACAGAGTGGGTGAGAGAGAGAATGTTGGGAGGGGAGAGAGAGAAAAAGGAGGGGCTTTAGTTGAACTCACATTGATAATTGGTCCATACACCTCGTTTTAGCTCCGTTTCTTATGCTGGACCTCCTGCGCTTGCCCCGGCCGGCATCACTTAGTTCCATTCGATCTCACAGCATGAAGAACCGTCGGGACAGAGAAGCACCTCAATTCCCCGGCATTGCGCCGGTGAAGAGGCGACCTCTTGAGAGTCCCGTGGCCAGAGCTCCTTCAACTGGGTCCCTGGGAGGGGTGTACCTTAGTGTATGTGGGGAAGATGGCCGCTCAGAAGACGCTGGCTCCGATGACTGGCTCCCTCCCCTCCCAGCCACCCAGCCAATGGCAGGGCAGGTTGGCTGAGGGAGCCAGTCATTGGAGGCAGCTCTTCTGAGTGGCATATTTTCCGCCCATACACTAACGGGGCGCATTTTAGAATTCTGGCACCCAAAACTCCTTTATAATAAAGGAGAGATATATTAGACCTTTACCACATTGTGATTTTATGCATTACATTTTAAAGCTGTCTCAGAATCTTATGGTTGAGAGGTGGGGTTATAATTTAAATAAAACAGATATACTTTCCAGTACTTTGCATGGCCCTTGGTCAATTTATGGTATTTTGTATTTTTAAGGTTTGCCTAGAATCCAAACATTAGCCTGTATCCGACCACTCTGTTGAGAAAAGTCTGAAGCGTTCCTGTAGCCTAAGGAGACTTCCTCTAACTTTAGTGGTTCTTCCTCCAGTAGATGAGCCATTTAAATGGGAAGCAGTCTCATCAGAAATGATCGTTTCCTCATAACTCTTGTCTTTTTTAAATGTGCTCAAGTGACCATGGAGATCAGAGTTCTTCACCCATGAATGTCTCCCATCCCTTCATGCAGATGTTTTCTGTACCAATGACAAGTGCTGTGGGGGGACAGAACATTCTGGAATAGTGCGTAGAGTTCAAGCAGTTCAGCCCCAGCTGCATCTCATTATAATCCTGCCAACCTTTTGGGGAAAGTTGTCTACTGATTTTAGGGCTTGTTAGTTTCTCTGATTTGGGATTCACCACCTCCTGCTTTGTTTTTGATTGCGCCTTTCATAAAGTGTTTCAATTCTTAATTAAGCTATCCTAGGCAATGATCTTGGCTAGAGAACAAAATACGCTTTGATTTTGAACCGCTGAGTCAATCAGAACTGTTTTGCATAATTTGCAAGATGTCAGCTGCAAACAGGGGAAATAAAATATATTAAAAATAGAGCACACACGCCTTGCTTTTACAATTTATGATCAGAGAGGAACCAGGGCAGTGGTTTGAATGCTATCCTGTTAAGATTCCTGAAACAGATATATTAACCTGGAGCTACAGTTTGATATAATAGAGAGAACAAGCAATAGGTTGGGAAGTGACTTCTAATTTAGTGTAGTGGTTAAGTGCGTGGACTCTAATCTGGAAGAACCGGGTTTGATTCCCCACTCCTCCACTTGCAGCTGCTGGATGACCTTGGGCCTGGCCCGTAGCTAACATGGGGCCCACGGCGCCCAACCCTCTAGTGTTTCTTCTGGGCCCCCTCCCTCCTGGGCTGCCCCCAAAGTGCTCCAACTTACCACCTGCACTGTACTTCCATTTAATTAGCTGGTGGGCCCCCCAAGGCTGCCTCCCAAAGAATTCCCTAGCTATGGGGCTGCCTTAGGCAAGCCATAGTTCTGATAAGAGCTGTTCTTGGGGAAAAAGAGCAGTTTCTGTCAAGAGCTCTCTCAGCCCCACCTACCTCACAGGGTGTCTGTTGTGGGGAGGGGGAGGGAAAGGAGTTTGTAAGCCGCTCTGAGACACCTTTGGGTAGTGAAGGGTGGGGTATAAATCCAATCTTCTTCTTCTCCTCTAATGGGAGTAAGTGGAACCACCCCTTGATTATTAGTGGATACTCCCAAGACCATAAGCAAAATGAAAAGTTGTAGGTATTACTAGAAGGATGGTTGGTTGATACAACCTCACTTGTGTATGTGTTAAAGGAGCCATCCCAGAAGGTTTAGAGAATGAGAAGTCCAAAGGGTCACTGGGAATGGTCTGTAGTTCATCATGACAGGGATCTTGGGACCCAGGGTTCATGAGCAGAGTGAGGGCAGGGACTGCTGGGCCTATATGAAACAACCAAGACAACCACCTCTTGAAATTTTGGATTGGACTTAAGGACCCAATGTTCCCTCTAAGCTGTGGAATCTTGTGAGCAAAAATTCTACTTTGTGAGCTACTGGCTTTAAAGTTGTGAGTGAGCAATTTGGCTGCTGCACAAATTAGTTTGCTCCGGAGCCACCCTTCCTGAGCTAAGACAAAAATGTGTGAGCTGGAGGCTAAAAAACTGTGAGCTAGCTCACACCAACTCAGCTTAGAGGGAACACTGCTCCTACACACACCAAATTAAATCTCATTTTATGTAGCACAGGATTTTATTTACTATCGCTTTCTTTTGAGAGGACATGAAGAAAAAGCCTTAAGATCCCGTTCCTAATGCTTAGGTAGTAGCTTTTTTGTTGCATTGTTACATCCCAATTGTGTTATTTTTAGTACAGTTTGTATTCTTCCCTCCGAGATGGCTATTACACACCTAGACACTCAACCTGTGAGGTGTGCTTGAGCCTGGAGTCCACATGGTTAATACTGACAGGAGCAGCCCTAGAGTCCTTGCTGCTTCATGATTGGATACACGCAATCAGCTTCATCCATTTATTTCTCCCAGCTTTTGTGCTGGAAGGTGGTCGTGGGTGTGAGCAGCAGAGAGACACTCACTGCAAATAGTAGCTCTCTGTGGGGACAAGGAGAGGGTGCTTTGCACCCTTGCTCCCAACAGCTGCCCCTATCATGAAGGGCAGACATTTGGAATCGTGGATTTTCTCCTTGTTCTTAGCTGGCTTTGTTCAGCCAAATCTGGGACAGGCAGAGCCACAGAAGGTAAGACATTGTAGTGTTGTTCAGTGGGAGCGGGTGCCCAAGCAGTATCTTAGGAGAATTTTGCATCTGACAGCAGCTGTATTGTAATTCCACAACATACAATATTGGGCAGCAGAGTCTGATGAGAATTAGCAACGCCTCTTTAGTTTACACATATATAGATAGATATAGATATATATGTCATAGTATTCATATGGTGGATTGAAATAGCCAATAATGCCTCTAAATCTCTAGCAACTAACCAGATCTGACTGACTAGGGAATCAGAAACCTTCTAAAAGGCACAGTATTCTAAATAGAATGGTTAATGACAGAACAGATTTAGTTGCAATCACAATCTCCCCCCCCCCCGTCTCCCTCCCTCCCTCCCTCTCTCTCTCTCTCTCTCTCTCTCTCTCTCTCACACACACACACACAAACAACATGCTACCACTATCTTTAAAATACTTATCTAGATCAGGAGGATGTGAATGTGGGCTTTATCTCTGCTGTGTCATGTTAAATGATATCCTAGCTACTTCTTATGGTTTGTACTTAATGTATGCAGCCCTAACGGAAGGAATGCACTGCCTTATCAGCCTGCCACTGTGTTCCTGTCATTCTTGACATTTTAAATGTCATACTGTTTGTTTTGCTAACTGAAAAACCGTTTGTGACCTCAGTAGAGTTTATTGTACAGATTGAGGGATATGTGCCCATTTCCCAAGTTTATTAAAGCAACAGGATCTTGGAATTCAATTAGGAATTTGACTGTGCAGTCAACGGGTAAGCCTTAGGCAGAATCAGTTTGTCATATGTAAAATCTATCTTTACTGAATTGTTATAAAAACTAGTGAGACAACAAATATAAAACATGAGAGAAAAAAATATCATATGGGTGATTTTTTTTAAAGAAACCCCATCATTTTCCTCTAAGAGAAATCTAGCCCTAGCAAAGAAAAGGTATGTAGCAGACATAGAAGATTTAACACATGGTATATTGCTCCTGATACATTAAACATTTTTCCTGGAAAACAAATCCGTAATCCCAGGAGAAAGGGGGAAGGTAGACTGCATGCCAGGACTATGAGGTATTGTTATGAATAATGGGAGTGGATTTATAACTCCTCCATAACCCAGTATTAAGCACCTGAAGGACACGGTTGGGTAAGATTGCATGGGCCTCAAGCCATTAGTTTATGCTAAGTGTTCAGGCAAACAATGTGATTATGCTGTCAACCAGTGGAGTCAATAATCAGGCATGCAAAAATGCAGTTTTGAGGAGTGGGCTGCTAAAAGCATCAAGACAAACAGTAAACATTTATTTAATATATCCAGAGCAGGAAACCAGACAGAGAAGCAGTGGGGCCTTTGGATGACAAAGGAATAAAGGGATTGCTAAAGGAAGATGGAGAGATGACAGAGAAGCTCAATGACTTTTTTACTTCTGTGTTCACTGTGGAAAGTGTGGGGCATTTACCCATGCCACAGCCCCTATTTTCAGGAAGGGAGTCTGAAGAACTGAGCCAAATTGAGATGACCAGAGTTGTAGACCTACTGAGAAAATTAAAAACCGGTAACTCTCCGGGTCCTGATGGCATACACACAAGAGCTCTTAAGGAACTCTGATGTGAAATAGTTGATCTACTAACTCGTATATGTAACCTATCACTAAATTCAGCTGCTGTACCAGAAGACTGAAGAGTAGCAAATGTGACACCACAGCCCCTGCCACACGGGGGGGAATAGCACGGGCAAAGTGTGGCTTTCTAAAGCTGCACCAAAAGAGAGACGCGGCGGCGGGATCACATAGATCCCCTGAGCCGCTGCGCACTTCCTCCCTGGCATGATCAGATGCCGGGGGGAAGCCACTAAAGAAAGAGCACGACAGCCGAACTGTGCATGTGTGCGCATGCGCAGTTCGGCGGGGAGCCTGGATTGATCCGGACGATGGGTGCAGCGGCGATCCCCCAGCTGCGCTTGAAGCGGTCCTTCAGGTAAGTTCTCCTCTGCAGGAGGTTCTTTTTCGCAGCGGGTTTTCAGGGTTTAGGGACGGATCAGGGATGGGTGTGTGCTGCTTCCCAAATGTTGCGGTGAGATCGCGCCCGTTTGCTGTGCCCCCAATCCGTCCCTCTCCTGGGCCAAAGTCTCCCGTGTGACCGGGGCCCACACCAATTTTTAAAAAGGGATCCAGAGGGGAACCAGGAAATTACAGGCCAGTCAGCCTAAGGTCTGTCCCCAGCAAATTAGAAGAAACCAAAGATAGAATTGTTAGGCTCATAGAGGGACAAAGCCTGCTGAGGAAAAATCAGCATGACTTCTGCAAAGGGAAGTCCTACCTCACCAACCTTTTGGAGTTCATTTGAGATAGTGAGCAAGCATGTAGACAACAGTAACCAAGTAGACATTATATACCTGGACTTTCAAAAAGGCTTTTGACAAGGCACTTCACCAAAGACTCCTGAGTAAATTTAGCAGTTGTGGGATCAAAAGATGGGTTCTCTTATGGATTAAAAACTCTTTAAATGACAGGAAGCAAAGAGTAGGAATAGATGGACAGTTCTCATAATGGAGGGAAGTAAGCATTGGGGTCCCACAAGGATCGGTAGGGGCCAGTACTATTTAATTTATTTGTCAATGTTCTGGAACTAGGGGTGAGTAGTGTAGTAGACAGATTTGCAGATGACACAAAATTATTCGGGATGGTGAAAACCAAGGCTGAGAGTGAAGAGCTCCAAGAGGACCTCCACAAACTGGGTGAGTGGGTGACAATGTGGCTGATGAGGTTTAGTGCTGGTAAGTGTAAAGTTATGCCCATTGGGACAAAAAAAAATCCCAACTTCAAGTATAGGGTCTGAATTTGCTGAGACTGAGAGGGAAAAAGATCTTGGGGTTGTAGTAGATAGCTCAATGAAAGTGTCACCCCAGTGTGCTGCAACAGCGAAAAAGGAAAACTCTGGCTGCAGTCACACACACCAAATAATCAACTCCAGTTCAGAAATTCCTGTAGATTTAGGGGTAGTGCTTGGGAAGGACATCGTTTGGGTAGGGGAAGAAGCTCAGCAAGTGTGTGATGCCTCCTGCCTTTTAAAGGATTTTACTGGGGCAGCCGCTGGGCTCCTTTAAAGCCCCAGGAAAAGGTGTGTAGTCCTTGAGGGAGCGAATAACAGAGGTGGTTGGGTTCCCAGCACCAGCCTTATCTTTCTGTACCTCTCCCACTACTTTAGAGGACTTCTCCTTTGGCCCGTGTTGGCCTGAGAGGAATAGGATGCTGCCAGCTTCATCTATGGGACAGCTTGTGGTCGTGGCCCAATGGTAGAGCCTCCTCTTCTCTCCGGGCTGCATAGTGGGTGTGGCCAGCCCAGGGAGCCTCCCATCCACTCCTCCCTATGACGTCATCCACCTGGCCCTTCCTCACCTGCTCTTGGGCAGGGCTTCCCCTGGGGACTCATCATACATGCTCCAGCCACTGGCAGGGCCTGCATATCCCACTAAGAAGCCTTCACTGCTTCAGGTAAAATTGGGGGTGGAGGTGCTTGAGACACTCAAGGAGGGCCAAAGTGCCAACTCAAGAGATAGGAGGCATCAGTACATTTCTCCTTGCCAGCTGCACCCTGCCTGAGCCAACTGAGCAAAGGGTAGGAGTACTGCCATGCTTCTCCTCTCCAGTCACACTAAGCCTCAGATGCCACAGGGTGGAGCCAGGCGCTCCTGTGCTCTTCCTCATAAGCCTGGGCATGGCAGGGTCAGCAAAGAGGAGTATGGGTAAGGCCGTGCTCCTCCTTGCTAGCTGCCAGTTTGGTGTAGTGGTTAAGTGTGTGGACTCTAATCTGGGAGAACCGGTTTTGATTCCCCACTCCTCCACTTGCACCTGCTGATGTGACCTTGAGTCGGTCACAAGCTCTGGCACAGCTGTCCTTGAAAAATAGCAGTTGGTGTCAGAGTTCTCTCAGCCCCACCCACCTCACAGGGTGTCTGTTGTGGGGAGGGGAAGGGAAAGGAGTTTGTAAGCCGCTCTGAGACTCCAAGTGAAGGGCGGGGTATAAATCCAATCTCCTCCTCCTCCTCCTCCACCCCACACCCATAGCAGCAAAGTGAAGCCAGGTGCTGCTGTGCCCATGCTCCTCCTCACCAGCTGCACCATACCAGCTCAGGGCAAAGCTGGGCGCTGCTCTGCCTATGCTCCTAGATGTGGTGAGGCCAGTGAAGGAAAATAGGAGCAATGCTGGTATAGGGGACAGTTGGGCACCACTGTGTCTGTACTCACCCATATTCCTCCTCACTGGTTGGGGCTTAAGGCAGTGGCCCAATGGGATTTCTCCTGATAAATGGCCAATTTGTCCCTGTCTGTTGGCATTCTGAGAGAACTCCAGGACCCACCTGGAGGTTGGTAACTCAACAAAAACATGAATAGCATATATCAAAAGGGAAGCAACTGCACTGTCATGATCTTTTTGGCCCAACACTAAGTAGGAAAGATCATACATATAGTAACTAGTGCAGATTTAAAGGGGGGAGAAAAAAGAATGTTAACGAGAGCCGCCCATTCCCAGAACTTTACTCCGGCGGTTTCATTGAAAGCCTCGCTAGGCAGCCCTCCCACCCGCCCCAATACATTATGAACAGGGATTCTCTGAAGATCTTTGTTTTTTCTTCCGTTCAGTTAAGAATACCCACAGTCCCCTCCTGCTTCTGAGAATGCTTCGGGAATATGAAATCTCCTAGTGAACTCCCTCCCCCACCATCAAAGCCATATAGTAACTATTCTTAAAACACGTCAATATTTTTTATATATATAGAAAAGCTATTCAAATTGTTTTGGGAGTTTCCCATTGCTTAATTTGGGGAAATACAGTGTAGATTTAGGCAAATTATGTTTTCATTATTATATTGTTTCTCCACATTGGGTATGAATCAGACTTCCATAGACATTTGTTGTCTCAGCCTGAGGGAACGAAAACATAGCTTTGAAGTTCCTCTTCCTCAAGGGCCAAATTACCACACTATGCAGCATAAACTCA